GCCGGAACGCGGCGGAACGGCGTTCCGGCACCTTTTTCCGGGCCGGCCGCACCGGAAATAGCCCCTCCCACACCGGAAATAGCCCCTCCCAAATTTTACTTGCATTCCTGTTCTCTAAAGGGGCGGTCCTAGGGTTTGATGAGGGCGTGGCCAGGTTTGAGTTCCGCCACCTTTTCTCCGAGAAAAAAAGCCCTGGTCACAACTATGAGGAACTTGCCAAGCGTCTGAATTTTGATCACAGGGATGCTGCCCAACGGTCGTAAGTGTGAAAAACGGTCCTACGTCACTCGTTTAGATGCCACTGTCACTTTGAACGGCCACTAAGCGAACAATTGTCAATGGGGGACCGCCCGTAGAAATATTTGCAACTCCGGCTTCCCGGGAAGCGAAGCCCAAAGCACGGCACCTCCGCCCGTCCAGGTGTAGGGGCTCCCTTTGGGCAAGGTGGGAGAGCACAACCTTACCTTTGGGGTCTACCTGGGCTAGGTAGGTGAGGCTGCAGTTCTTGGCTCCTTTCGCCTGGATCAGGTAGCCCGTTTGGATAGAGACAGCCCTGACCATGTCCTTCCGCGGGGGGTATTTCTGGAAAGAAGGGAGCGGAAAAGTTGAACTCACGCCCGCCAAGTCCGGAACTGGCCCTAGCAGGATCTGGAAGGGACCTTGGAGGTCATCTAGTCCAAACCCCTGCTCAAGGAGAAGACCCTATGCCACTTCGGACAAAGGATTGTCCAGTCTCTTCTTAAAAGCTTCCAGTGTTGGAGCATTCACAACTTCTGGTGGCAAGCTGTTCCACTGGCTAATTGTTCTCACTGTCAGGAAAATTCTCCTTCATTCCAGGTTGCTTCTCTCCTTGATGAGTTTTTATCTGTTGCTAGATTTTTAGGTGTGTGCCTTGCCCCACAACTAGGGCTTATTTTGGGGATGGGGTTTACTTCACGGGAAACAGGAAGCGGCCCCTCCAGAGGGGATTCCCCCCACCCAAATTCCTTCTACGGGGCCGAGATCTCCCTTGCCTGCCTTGGCTGCAGCTCATCCTTCTGTCTCCCAAGGCAGAGCTCCAGTTGTGGCTACACAACCATCTTGATCTTTTGGGCCCTCTGAGACTGCCCAGAAAACGCCTGCTCCCCCTCCTCAACCCCCCCACCCCACCCTAAAAGTCCTGTTACTCACAGGGTGTTTGACCGAGTAGTTCATGATGATGTAGTCGCTGCCCATCGGCAGCCAGGAACGCAGCGTGATGACGTCGCGGTTCTTGAGGGGTTTCGGGCACTTCCCTGCCAGAGACGGGAGAAGGGGACTCAGATGAGTCTGGGGGCTCAAAACAGCTGGATAGCCTCAACAGAGAATCCCTGCTTCCGATGGGGAGGCACCTCCGGGTGGTCAAATGTCCAGGTGGGATTTTAAGGACTCCACCGGCTGGGACACTCTAGGAAGGAGGGGCCTGGGAATCTGGGACTGTGACCGAGCCAGCCATAAATGGTCCTGGTCGTTTGAGCGAGGGTCCTTCCTGCACCTTCCAAGGATTTAACCGAGCATAAATAGAGAAACACCTGAGCTGATTTCTACTCTGGGGTCCTTGGTGGTCTCTGAGCTCGGTGGTTTTCTTGCAGACGTTTCATGACCCTACTAGGGAACATCATCAGTGCCAAAAGGGAGGAGGAGGAGGAGGAGGAGGAGAACTATGGGGTCCTTGGGGCTCTCTGAGCTGGGTGGTTTTTTTGCAGATGTTTCATGACCCAACTAGTGCTAGAAGCAGTGGGTGGGTTGTCCTCCTTCCCCTCCTCTTCCTTCTCCCCCTCCCTTCTAGAAGAAAATCACTAATCCTCACTCTCCCCCCTCCTCCTCCACTCCACTCTCCCTTCTAGCACTGATGATGTTCCCTAGCTGGGTCACGAAACATCTGCAAGAAAACCACCCAGCTCAGAGACCTTCAAGGATCCACAGTCGTCGTCGTCGTCGTCGTCATCGTCCTCCTCCTCCTCCTCCTCCTCCTCCTCCTCCTCCTCCTCCTCCTTCTCCCCCTCCCTTCTAGCACTGATGATGTCCCCTAGCTGGGTCACGAAACGTCTACCGAAGACGACCTGTATTTGATTCCAAAGCTGGCAGCTCTGAACATCAAATGCCAAAGCAGGAGTGGGCACCCCAGGGCGAGTCCCCACCGCTCGGGCTCCCTCTGGGGGTGCCCTCCAGCCCCTCCTCCCCCCGCCCACCACCCTTTCTCACAGGCGTAGTATCCCACGTCTGAGTTGACGGTCAGCTTGCCGATGTCAAAAGTCTCGATGACGTTCGTGTCCCACTTTTTCCGGTACTCGATGTCGTGCAGCACGTCGTACAGAGTTTCCGCGGAGATATCTTTGCAATCCATCCTGCACTGGAGAGAAAC